CCCCACTTGTCCCTCCCAGCTGCCCCATCATCCACACCCAGGCTAAAACCATTTTAGCCCAATCAATACAGAGGTCACATAGCATTTTATTTATATATTTTTTATTTTTCATAGTGACCAAACTGCCAAGTAGAACATTAGAGTAATGAATATGTTTAATTGAACTTGTCATCCATGAAAATACTAAGGAGAATACTGTACTGCATCATAATACTAGTAAACAGAAGGAGGAAATTTACTATAGAGATGAAAGAAATTACTCATTAATTTAAAAGTTAATTTTCTTTTGTATTTGTAACTTATGTATTTTTGTTAGCATTATTCTGTTTTTTTTTCAAAGTATGCTGATATATATTTAATAACAAAATTACCATGTTATATTTACATCATAGTAAACTGTATGTCATATATCATAGTAAACTATATGTCACTTTTACATTTAAAAAAGACCTTTTAGTTTTATTCTGATATTTGAAAACTTAAAACTAAAAGTCAAATGGTTGGTGATGAAATAAATCCTAAACCAAGTAGAATTTAATGTTTCTAGAAAAAATTATGTGCTTTGCTCTGACTCCAAGTTTCAGAGGAAATTGTATGCAACAAAAATCTAAAAGCTATGTTAATAATAGAGAGGTGTAACTTTCAACCATGAGCATAAAATTACTTTAAACTAGCTTGGTAAAATTATTATAAATAAAACATTTGCATATATATTTATTGGTGAGTTGATATTGAATGTTTTCTACATGGATTTTTATTTTAAATACTATTTTATTAACATAATTTTGTGACTAATTTATAATTATATTCTATAAAATGGAATATGATGGAATATGAATGTTTTCTAGACTTTCCTAGCAGCCGGTGATATTACTCAGTATATGGCATAATTAGTTTGTATTTTGTATATTAAATTTAAAACATTTTTCTTGATGTTAGATATATCCTTATTCTGGAAATGGTTTTGTTGCAAAAATTAAGTACTTAAATTTTGTTGATATATATTATCTGATTTTATTCCTGTTAGCAGATTGTTCAAAAGTCAATATGGAATTATCAGAAAGAGTAAAACCTCTGAAATATTGGCTAATATTTGGGACTAGGATATGTAGTGTAGCTTTAAACATTAAGAATAATATTATAAAAATATAAGACTCCTAAAATATTTTTAAGGTAAAGTATGTTATCACTTTTTAATATAATTCCCTTACAAAAAGAACTTTAACACATTTAAAATTTATTGGTGGTAGTTGTTTTTCTTTTCTTTTTTTAAAAAAAACCTTTTTCTTTTGTGAAACAAATATTACTTTATTTTCAGAGACTAATTTAACTCTACTTTTAAAAATGCCTGATATTCATGCATTTGGGCAATAAAGGCATGCTTCTATTTTTTGTTCTTTCATAAGGATGAGAAAATAGATGAAAGTTTTTATTTGGATACATTTATAAGCTTTGCAAACTGAATGGTTAATGGAAAAGTATTTAAAAAAATAAAAAAATAAATAAATGCTTTACTTTCAAGCCAGTAAATGCAACAGGGTGAAGAAATTTTCATATGTATTCATAGTATCCTATTTGAAGCGTAGAAGAAGGAAATGTGTGTATTAGTGGGAAGAAAGAACATATTTTTCAGGTATAAATTTTAAAGAAGATACGGTAGCTTTTTTCAATGTAAAGAAATAGTATATATGTGTGTTTGTACTATTTAAAATTTAATACTGTTCTTTCCTCTCTTATTCCCTCACCTCAACATTTAATTAATAAACCATCTTGTTGAAACAAATTATTAAAAAGTGAAAATTGAATTTTCTACTAATAATACTACTCCCAATATTTAAACAAAGTGGTAAACATTCAAAGAGTGTGCTGTGAGCTTAAGCTTTCAAGCTATTCTGGACTTGGGGTCATAACTGCAGAGCAATGGTAATGATATGGTTTCCATAGCAACTGATTCATTGGAGGGCTAGACCTCTGTCTAGGGTGCTGTCAGTGGATGTGGAGTTTGAGTGAACAGAAAGTCCCAAAGAAGGGTCTGCTTCTACCTAATCCAGTTTTAATTGAACCCTAGAGACTTTGAAGTGAAGCCTCGGACCAGGAATATACTATTCTGATAAGAAATAAACCTCTTCCTTAGCTAGGCCTCAGCTGCTTTTCAGTACTGACACCTTTTCCTAATGAATACTTTAAAATAATGTTATTGTATCAATTTCAGCTAGTAATTTCTGTTAGTTAAGAGAGCCTTTATTTCTATTTAAAACCCTCGCTATCTTTACAATAAGCATAGATATTAATATTTTTGAAGTCAGGGTAGTATGTGTGCGTGCGTGTGTGTGTGTGTGTGTGTGTGTAAATCTTCAGTTTTTGATGCCTTTGGCAATTTTCTTTCCTCCTATTTCTCTTTCTCAGAGTTTTAAAAAGTTAAACAGACCTGCTTATATTTAACTTTGGAAGCACATTGTCATATACTCAGTATGACACAATTTGTGAGATTTGAAAACAGTACAAAAATGCTGGATATTATTTACAATTATACATGTACTAATAGTATAAAAAATTACATGGGAACAATGCACCTCAAACCAAGGGTAGTGATTAGCTCTGACAAAAGAGGAAAATGGGATCCGGAAGGGTTATACAGGGGAATATCAACACTATCTGAAATGCTGTATTTCTTAAGTGTATGTAATAATGGGGCAAAATGTTGGGATTTTATAAGGTTGAGTATTGGGTACATGGGGCTCATGTCATTTTCCATAATTTTGAATAGGTTTGACATTTGGCAATAAAAACAATTTTTTTAGGAGCATGCCGCTTGCTGTATTTTAAGTAGATTTTTAAAAAACTATACTGCTTAATTCAGTGGTCAGTCGACAGAGCCGAATATCAACAGTACAACGATTGAAATATCTTTTGAGAGCCAAATTTTTTAAACTTAAACTTCTTCTAACGCCACTTCTTCAAAATAGACTCTCCCGGGCTGTGGTATTTTGTGGAAGAGCCACATTCAAAGGGCCAAAGAGCTGCATGTGGCTCACGAGTGCAGTTTGCCAACCACAGGCTTAATAAAATGGGATATAAATTGAATTTTTTGATTAATTGGAAAATGATTTTAATACATTGAAAACTGATATAATAATGCTTTCATATACTTATTTTAGTTAAAAATTGGAGTATCCTAAAGTATAATTAAAACTGTAGTTGTATGACCATGCTCTTGTAATGATTGACATCACCATCATGAGCAACAGGTCTTATTATAAAGCCCTATAGGTATAAAAGATGGACTTTTCAGATAAGTATGTGAAATTCTTTTGATTTTCCTCTTTTATCTTTAACCTAAGTGTAGAAAAAACAAATGTAGTTTATTATAATTTCTAATGAGTTGAGTTCTAATTTAACAAACATTTAAAACCCTTTTTTAGGGATGTGATAATATTCTATATAAGTAAATTCTGGACTTTGGGATTTGAAAACCTGGATGTATTCCAGACTCTGCCACTAACTTACCAAAGTGACTTTGTTTTAAGCATTGAACTTGTCTGGATTATAGTTTCCTTACTAGTAATTTTTGGATAGATGGGAGTATGTGTTACAGAACATATATTGGATTCTCTCCAATTTGATAAGTCTAGGATGAGAAACTCAAATGCCAGTGGAAGCTAGGGAGATAATAATATATGAGTGAAAGGGCGGAAACTGCAAAAATGGAGAGAGCATGCCAGTTTTCACCATGTGGCATATAATTCTATATTTGACAGAATTCTAGATTTGACAGATATTTCACTTTTTCCTGAGAAACAAAGAACAATCTGAATTTTATATCCATTTTCTCATGGACTTTCAACTACTTGAAATTCTGTTAAATATCATATGGCTCAAAGAAAAAGAATATGGGCCATATATGGAGGTTAGGCTACCTCATTCATTGATTTAATTATTCACAAACATCTATCTGGTGTCAGATAATGTTATAGGAAATGGAAATAGAGTGTATTCAGAGTCTCTGCTTTGGTAGAACTTAGATTGTAGGAAAAATTCTTGCTATTCATTACTTTTCTTCTCTTTGCTTATTCCATCTTTGTCCCTACAATGCAATGTAATAATAAAATTTTATTTTATTTTTACTTTTTTATAGTTTTTACTTTTGAGAGATATACTTAAATATTTAATTTGCTTTTATGGATTTTCACCAGGTTTTGATACCAAACACATCTCATTTTCTTTATTAATATTATGTGAAGTACTGTAGTAGAGAAATTCCACATCTGGTTTTTCTTCAACACCTTCATAGTTAAGTTTTTGAAATGAACTTTAAAAAAAAGAAAAGAAAACGTGAATAACAAAGCGACAAAGTGGCTTAGGACTAAAGACAGGATTACTTTTAGTTGGCAAAGCATTCTAAGCTACTGCATCTGTCACATGGGATGACAAGAATTGTAACAAGTTACTCTGACAACCATCTACTCCATAGAGAGATTATGCTGAGTTCATTTGCAGGTTTGTGTTTAGCCTGGCTGACAAAATGATACTTAACCTCTTATACAGTCAGTCTTTGTGTTTTTTGAATGAGTGACTGTTGCCTCAACAGTGACCTTAAAAGTGTGATTTTTAAAAAAAGTTATGCACTTCAATATATTTTTTAAAATACGTAAAAAGTAATTCTGGGTCCATTAAAATCACATTATATGTAACTGAGTTGTATATGTGATCTTTTCAGGTGTTCCTTCTTTTTAAAGTTTTACCTAAAATTTTCATGATATGACTCAAAAATCAGTCACTAAATAATGCAGTATACGTTTCCTGAAAAAAAATAAATGGTACAGCTTTAGGAAGCCCTCAAATGTATTTCTAAGTAGCTGTTTTATAATTTCACTCCATTTCCTTTCCATAAGTCACAATCTATATTTTTAATCTTCCAAATTATTTTAATAACTATATTCATTCAATTCTTAGAAATTATACTGTTTTTTACTTACTTGGGATTATTTTTTCCTCACTAGATCCTGGCATATACAGAAGGGCTTCATGGAAAATGGCTGTTCACAGAGATACGATCAATCTTTTCTCGTCGTTATCTTTTGCAAAACACAGCCCTGGAGATCTTTATGGCAAACAGAGGTAATATGTTACAAAAGTCTATTGTTACAAAGCTAACTTCCATCTCTTTGCATTTTGTTTTTTAATAGTATATCATGTTGTTTTCATTTTGATAATATTTTGCAGTCCAGCCCCTGCCCTGCTGACCTCTTTTTTGACCCACGTGCATCTTCATGGCTTTTACCCCCGTGGTCATTCTAAGAGTTTTTTGGTAGTAGTTTTACTTTGCTGGCCATATAAACAAATTAGTTCAAAGCTGTATAAACATGGGAAGTTTCTAAGCATTAATCACTTCTCAAATTTTGATCTCCTCAATATTGCTCTGATATTGGAGCTCCTTCTGGAAGGTGGCTTCATTTGGAGAGAGGAAAAGGTTATCAAATGATTCATACATTTATTTAATCTTTGGTCTAATCTATTGCCCTTTATAAAGGGATCATCAGAATATGGTACTGAACTGCTCTGGTTGATTTGTATTTCATCATTCTTGAAAGAACTAAAATTTAATTTGTGGGTTTAGAATGGAACTTGGTGAAATTCATTAAGACAAGAGACTCAAGGTCAACTTGACAAAGGTATCGTTCAGTGTGACAGAGGCATTTAAGGAAGAATATGTAAAACTTTAGTGCTTATTGCTCATACTTCTTGTACATAAGTAGGTTGAAGTTTTCTTGTTTTCACTTTCTGTAATCCATAAATTGTCAGTTTCAAAATCTACACCTAATAATATAGTCCACGTATACTTTTTCTTTTTTCCTATGTGAAATCATGTGTCTTTTGATAATATAGGTTTCTTTAGGTAAAGATGTCTTTCCCTTTCCTGTTTGGTCTCTTCCCCTGCACATACATCTTTTTCCTAGTGTAAACTCTGCATTCTTGCTGTCCCAAAGGGCTTTCAACCTTGTAATATTTATTGCTTTTTCATTCTCATTCATTTTGCTTCTTTGAAATTTCTTATGCATCCTTGCTTTTGTATGTGTATTTTTCTCTTGTCTTTCCTTCTTGATCTTGGTCATCTGCCATAGTCTATGATAGTTTTTGTTTTACATTTCCCCCTAGTATTCAGCATAATAATGGATACACAAGGAAGCATTACTAACAAAGCATGTTGTGTGTGTGTGTATGACAGATCTAAATGTTTTAGGTGTGTAGTGAATGATCATGTACTTTTTTACCTGAAACATGTTGGTAATTCCAATGTTTGAAACCTACACCAAATTGAAAAAAATTTTTGGCCATAAGTATTTTTTAGGCTAGGTGATTATTCACAGCTAATACATGTTTCTGATACTGAAATTAATATAATTGAAATTTAAAATTTAAAATAATATTTTAAAATTATTTCTTATGATTTTATGGCTTTGTTATTTTCATATTTTAAAAACACAAATTTACCAATGTCTGTAATAAATTAACATTTACATATTGAGTATGTTTACATATATTGATGTACATGTTTTGATATTCTTAAAATATGTACTTACTAAAATGGAAACACCACATGACTTCACTCATTTGTGGATAATAAAGAGCATTATAAACTGATGAACCAAAAGATAGATATAGAGACAGTATATCAACAAGTAGACTGTCAAATTACAGCGGGGAGGGGAGGAAGATCTGGGGGAGATAATAGATCAACCGAAGGACTTTTATACATGCATATAAGTACAACCAATGGACACAAAACTCTGGGGAGGGAGGGGATGTGTGGGAGGGAGGGAGGGAGGGGGGCAAAAAAAAAATCAATAAAATATAAAAAAAATAAATAAATAAAATAAAATAGAAATTATCAGAAAACATTTAAATTTTATTATTAACCATAGAGGAAATATTTTCCTTCAGGACACACATTATTCTGGATTATATGAACATATAAACTGTAAACATATGAACATTATAAAAAGAATATTTTTAAAACTGTTCATCCTTGGAAATAAATACAGCTGGTAATAGAGTAGCTGTGTTTGTAGTCCTCTTGATGTTAGATTGTTACCATATATAGTTAACATTGTAACCAGTATTTCTATAGGAATTCATACATATGTAGTTAACTTGCCAAAATTCAGTTTTGTAAATTAAACTTGTAGCTAGATAATCTCAGCTTCATGTCACAGTAACGCAACAACAGGTGATATAATCTGAAAGCATTTAGGAAGGAGCTGTCTAAGGTATGAGTTTCTAAGTGAAATGAATATTACCTCTGATATATTAATATTAAAACTTAAATGTACCATGATAAAATTAATATGCCAAGAATTGCATTTAATAAATATCTGGATTAAGAGCATATATTTTATCAGACCAAAAAGTCTACATACTAGAAAGGAAATCATTCAATGTTCTAATTTTTGAAAATTATTTTCCATAGTTGCTGTAATGTTCAACTTCCCAGACCCTGCAACAGTAAAGAAAGTGGTTAACTACTTACCTCGTGTTGGTGTTGGAACATGTTTTGGATTGCCTCAAACCAGGTACTGTTTTATATGAGAAAAATGTGGAAAATAATCTGTATTATTATGTGTCCTTGTTTTGAAATGCATGAGCTTGTGTTTCATAGTGAATGATGATTATTAGTATACTAGGGGCCCAGTACACGAAATTCGTGCACATTAAAAGGGAATTAATTGGAGCAAATACTTTAATATTGCTCTTTGCCCTTTCTCTATAATAGAAGTGTCAGAGATGAAAGTAAATTCATAAAATGTAAATGAAAATCTTGCTCCTGTCAGTCTGGGGCACACTGTGGGACCCAGAATCAAGTCCCCGCCAACCCACGCACTCCTTGAAATCGCATGAGACCCAGATCTGGTTGGCCCCAACCCCATTGGGCGAGATCCAGACCTGGCCGGCCCCACCCTTGTCAAGCCCCACTGGGCAGGGTGCGAAACCTCAGGTCTCCTGGCCCAGCGCCAGGTGGAGGGCTCAACTTCAGGTCCCCTGTCAAGCCCAGCTGGGTGCGGGGCGCAGCCTCAGGTATCCCATCAAGCTCCGGAGGGTGTGGGGTACAGCCTCAGGTCCCTGGCCTGGGGCAAATGGTACAGCTTGGGGTCTCCCATCAAGCCCTGCCAGATAGGAGGTGTGGCCTGAGGTCCCCAGCCTGGCACCAGGGCGGGGGACGCGTCTTGAGGTCCCCCATCAAGCCCTGCCAGGCAGAGGGTACAACCTGAGGTACAGGGGCAGGGGACATGGCCTGAGGTCCCCCAGCCTGGCGCCAGGGCAAGGGGTGTGGCTTGAGGTACCCCGTCAAGCCCCACCAGGTGGTGGTGGGGGGCTCAGCCTGAGGTTCCCTGTCAAGCCCTGGTGAGCAGGGGGCACAACCTCAGGTCTCCAACCCCAGCCAGGTGCCACGCAGCCCCAATTCCCTGATAATCACTTGTTATGGGAACCCCACCTCCGCTGTGGGCGCAGCCATCTTGTGATAGCATGAGGGTTAATTTGCATATTACCTCTTTATTATATAGGATTGTTTTATTTTGATCCAACTAAACTTTTGTCTGAAGAAACTAAAAAAAGGGGAGCAAATATAATATAAACCAAAGTGAGCTAAAAAAAAAAAAAAGCATGAACATCAATGAAAAATAAAAACAATAAAGAAATATTAATGTAATGAAAAGTTCTGTAAAGATTAATAAACAAAAATATAAAACTTATAAAGAGAAAGAAAATATTAATTACACAATATCAAGAATGAGAGACTATCACTATTGTCTTCTCTGATAGTAGGTACTGATTCATCATCAATACAATTTTGTTAATAAATTGAAAAGTGTGAAGAGTGAACCAGTGGGATTTTTCTGTTGATTGCTTGAAACATATTAGATGTAGAAATTTAGTTTACTTTTAGCATACCTAATTTTTTATTGATTTGAGTTGTTTTTTATTAGTGTTTTTTCAAAAAAAATTTTTTTTACAGTAATACCTTCTTATAAATGTACTTGAAATAGAATGAATAAACAACAGTCAGGTTGTTAGTCCTCCTGAGGCCGTATGATTGTTCAAGGTGAAGCCCCCACGTTCCTCTTGGCAGTGTTCCCCACCAAGTCTGCCACTCCAAGGGCTGCTTGACTGTCTGTATGACTGAGAACTTACTTTCCTCAGAGCAAGTGAACCGAGGGAAAGCAAGAAAGTTGCCCAGTTTCTTCTCTATGACCTACCCTTGATAGTACTGTGCCCACATTTTTGCTACATTTTATTTGCTGCAAGTGAGTCATTAAATACAGCTCATGTGCCCTAGCCAGTGTGACTCAGTGGTTAGAGTGTTGGCCATGCACCAATGGGTCTTGGGTTTGACTCCCAGTCAAGGGCACCTATGGGGGCCAACCAATCAATGTGTGTGTCTCTTTTTCTCTCTCTTTCTCTTTCTCTTTCTCTTTCTCTTTCTCTTCTCCTCCTCCTTTTCTTATCCACTCCCTCTGCTTTCCCTTTTCACTCTACAATCATTGGACAAAAATATCCTCAGGTGAGGATTAACAACAACAACAAAAATACAGCCCAGGCTCTAGGGAAGAGGAATCAAACTTCATCTCTTAAAGAAGTATCATCAAAGAATTTGTGGACATGCTTTAAAACTAATAATGATCACAGCTTTTAGGTAAACAGGGCACATAAAGAGGCCCCTCTGTGTTATAAACAATAGTTGCTTTACAATGCCAATTAGGGTTTTGATTAGATAATTTTATAATGTAACTAGATGCCTGATGCACAAAATTTCTGCAAGAGTAGGCCTTCTTCCCCCAGCTGCCAGCACTGTCTTTGCTCTGGCACCAGAAACCCAGGCTTCCCTCGCAGAGGGAGGCCCCGCCTACCAGCCACAGTCTGCCTGGGCCTTCCACGTTGGGGCAATCATGGAGGGGCCCCCCCCCCCCATTGATCGCCTTGCCAGCCAGTGGCCTGGGCCTCCCTCTGCAGGGCGGTCATGGGAGAATGGCTGGGCCCCCAACCAATCCCCATCACAACGGCCTTGGCTGGCCTGGTGCCAGTGGCTGTCATAGCATGGTCCAGAATGGTCATCCAGATGGTTATTCCGCTGTTCGGCCCTTACATTGATTTGCATATTACACTTTTATTATATAGTTTGGGGAATTTAAGGATTCAGAGGGAAGCAACTCAGAATTGTATGGATTTTCTTATCTTAATAATAAAAGATTTACTTTTTCTACTGTAAAAAGGTTTTATTTATTACCTAGTAATGTGTTATCATACTTGGGAATTTTAGTAATATTTTCCTACAGTTAAAGCTAAAAGTCTTAACTCAATAAATCAATCACTTAGATTTTCAACACTTACCATGTATATTTTATATTTATACAATGGAATACTGTTTAGCAACCAGAATAGATGAACTATAATACTAATACATGCCAGCACAATGATGAACCTCAAAAACATTTGTGGTTAGTGAAAGGTGATGCAAAAGACAACGTGATTCTTTAATTCTACTGACCTGAAATGTCCAGAAAAAGGCAAGTTTATAGACAAAAAGCAAATTGATAGTTGCCTAGACCTGGGGATAGGAATGATGAGTAACTATAAACAGGCCCAAGGCAAGTTTTTGTGGTGATGAAATGTTCTCAAGTGCACTGTGGTGACAGTTGCACAATTGTAGAAATGCAATTTTAAAAAATAATTGAATAGTACACTTAATAATGGGTAAATTTTATGGTATGTAAATAATACCTTTGTAAATAAACTTTTTAAAAAAATAGCTACCTTGTCCTGAGTTATAGAAGAACGATTACAACATATTTACTGAAATGCTATGCCCCAAATGGAATAATTAATCCTGCTACTGATTTCCCAGTGCTGCTTATTACTGATTGGTTGTATCCATCGTTATTTACATTGCATCAGAAAAACAGAAAACTTCATCTTCTATTAAGATGTTTAAAAAATAAGTTTTTTTAAACCTCTATTCTACCCTTGAATAGACCACTATAGAGTTTACCATCCCCTTTTCCATGTTACATAGGGTATGCAAACATAATATTTAGCTCTATGAGACAAATGTGTATCTTTATATAATGACTATAAAAATATTAATACAATTTTATATGTATTTTTAGTTACTATAATTCCTTTTATATCAGTAAAACAGTGAATTATTAATCATCCTATTATTAATCAACCTATGGAGCCTAGATTATAATGGCATTGAAATGAAAGCTTACAGTAATGAATAGAACATGTATAATAGACTTGTGGCTAGTCCACATCATTTGTTTAACCATTAATTGTAGATGGAAACATCTCTAGTACTCATTAGTACAACATAAATAGAACTTTTCAGAATATACAGGTATCATTTTGAATAAGCAAAGATATTCATGATTTATTATTGTGGTATAATCTTAAGTTCAAATTGATTCTACATCAGTTTCTTTTTTTTTTTTTACAGGCGAATCTCATTAGCTAGTCCACGTCAACTTTTTAAAGCTTCTAATATGACTCAGCGATGGCAGCACAGAGAGATTTCAAACTTCGAGTACTTGATGTTTCTCAACACAATAGCAGGTACCTAAGCTCACATGTTGACTTATTTCAAAGAGTAAACTGTTTATTGTGACATGATTAGATTACTTTGGTTACTGATGCATATATAGCTTATTTTTATTTTTATTTTTACTAAATAAATATACCTTATCAAAAGTAATTTTGAAAATAAATTTTTCGTATATGAACAGTTGGCTACTTGAGAAAAATAAAAAATGGGTATATACAGTCTTTTCCAAAAATATAAAATAACAATTTACAACTAACTATTCAATATAGTAAGCATGGACTCACTATGGAATAGAAGGAATGAATAACCATAAATCCTAAGAATCTTTTAACAACTTTATAAATGTATTATGTGTTGAGTCAATGAAACACAACATAGAAAAAAGAAAACTGTGGTTAAATATTAAATAAAGCAATATTATGACCAACATATTAAAATATAAAGATTAAATGTCCTGTACAAGATTTATAATCATATAATATTACTAAAGATTACCTATTGAAACTGTTCACTTTTAAAGACTAAAGAATAGAAATGTGTCATTGCTTTTTATTTGTGATGATTTGTATAAAGAAATGTCTCAAAGAATGTAATTATGAGACACTTGAGATTTAGGTCAAGAAAATGACAGAGTTTATATTTGAGGCACAAAGGAGATAAGAGCATAAGGCATGTTGCTTATTCTCACAGAAGTTATTTTAAGTAAAAGTGGGAGCATTTACATGATTCTAGAGCAAAGGGTTTTAGAATCAATAAAAATTACAAAATAGCCCTGGCCAGGTGGTTCTTTTAGTTTGAAGCATCACCAAAAGGTTTCGGGTTCAATTCCTGGTCAGGGCACATGCCAAGGGTGTAGGTTGGATCCCTGGGCACTATGTTAGGCAACCAATAGATATTTCTCTCACATATGTGTTTCTCTCTCTCTCTCTACCTCTCTCGTCTCGTCTCGTCTCGTCTCGTCTCTTCTCTTCTCTTCTCTTCTCTTCTCTTCCCTTCCCTTCCCTTCCCTTCCCTTCCCTTCCCTTCCCTTCCCTTCCCTTCCCTTCCCTTCCCTTCCCTTCCCTTCTCTTCTCTTCTCTCTTCTCCTCCCCTGCTTCCTTCCTCTCTCTCTCAAATCAATAAAAATATAGTCTTCCAATTGGTAGGAGTAAGGGAAAAAATCAGAAAAAATTTCATGTTTGAGTGAGGATAGATATTACTTTAATTAACAGAGGTGATAGTTGGGAGAGAAGTTATTTAATGTAAAACTGATGGCATAAGCCAAAAAAAGATAACTGGAAAATTATGAAGTAAAGCTAAAGAACAATTAATGGTATAGTTATATGCACACACAGACAAGTTATTTATTATATGTAAAGTAGGCCCCCCCCATTCATGTGGCAATCATTCAAAGACACCCCCATAGATGCCTGAAACCATGAATACTACCAACCCTATTTATACTATATATTTTCTCTATATACTTACACTTTATAGTTTCTGATTGTCAACATTACTATTCTTGTGCTTTTAAACCATTATTACGTAAAATAAGTGTTACCTGAATGCAAACTCTGAGACACTCCACACTCAATCTGATAACCAATAACCGAGATGGCTGCTGAGTGAGTAAGGGGTGTGATGTTCCAGTTTAATGTGCTGGACAAAGGATGGTTCATGTTCAGGTAGACAAAGCAGGATGGTGGGAGATTTTATCACACTATTCAGAATGGCGTGCAAGTTAAAACTTATGAATTGTTTATTTCTAGAATTTTTCATTTAATATATTTGGCTCACAGTTCACTGAGAGTAACTGAAAATGTAGAAAAGAAACCGTGGATAAAGGGGCCTACTGTATATGTGTGTGTGTGTGTGTGTGTGTGTGTGTGTGTGTGTGTATGTATGTATGTGTGTGTGCGCGCGTGCGCACATAAAAAGTATATATTCCTAAAGGTATAATGAGAAAACTAGAAAGGTTGTATGGAATTGACTTACTGTCAATTTGATGAGCTAGCAATCAATTCATTGGGAAATTTGTGAAAGTTTTTGAACAAATGAATGATAATAGAACTGTGTGAAAAGGTAGCTTGGAGGCAGAATGAAGGATAAATTGGAGTGGAGAGAGAGGCTAGGCAGAATCAAATTTAGGAAGCAATTATATGTAAAAAGAAATGAGGGCCTGCATTAGAGAGATGACAGTGGCAATTAAAACACAACATTAAATAACAAGAATTTACAAGGTACAAACTGTTTGACATCAACTAGCTGTCATTGCTTGTTGTCAGTTTGGAGGAGGTATGGGAGAATACGGCAGCACTCGGGAGTGAGGGGCAGTAACACTGGCGATGGCGTTCAGCATGTTCAGGGGATCATTGGTTTTGAAAGCTGTCACAGAAATTTCAGAGCAATTTTGTGCAACTCCTTCATTTTACAGATGACTAATGAATGCCCACAGGGCTCAAATCACTTAAACTTGGTTGATTAGTTGGTCTGTTGGTTAATTAATGGCAGAGAAATGAACCTAGTTTTGAAAAGCTCTGTAAGAATTGCAAATTATTATTTTTAAAATTTTAATGAAGAATATTTTATTTGGTGCAGGCTTTCAAGTAACAAAAAATAGTCAATAGTTTATGAGGACATAATCATGGGGGCCAGAGTATCTGTATTTGAATATAGTTTGACCATTACTAGTTACTACATCATTTTGGATAGATAAACCTTTTGTGCCTCAGTTTTTTCACATGTAAAATGGGGATGATGCCAATTTCATAGGGGTATTGTGGGGATTAAATGAAATAATGTATGGATAACACAGCACTATCTGGCACTCCAAAAAGTTATTTTTACAAAATTAGACTGTTGAATCTTCTCATCATTTTATTTTATTATTTTAGATTGAGTGTCTGTTTTTTCTCTCCCAGGACGGAGTTACAATGACTTAAATCAGTATCCAGTGTTTCCCTGGGTCATCACTAATTATGAATCAGAAGAATTGGATCTTACCTTGCCAAGTAACTTCAGAGATTTATCTAAGGTAATTTCTCAGTAATTATCTGAAATATAAATGTCTTCCATTTAAAAATATATTTGATTATGTTTAATTTTCAGACTACTTTTTAAAACCTTTTAATAATTATAACTTTAGTATATTTATCTTTTAAACATATGTTAGTATTCTCCAGTTTAAAATAGAAAACTTTAATATACAGAAAAACTTGATACCAATTAAAAATGTTAACTGATATATATTTTTCCATATACATTCAAAAAGACATTATTCTCAGATAGCATCTTCTTCTCAGTGTGTTAGTATTGTGTAAAATGAAGAAAGTCATGGAAACTTCTCATCAGTCTTCTTATAAAAGGACAAGTAGCCCTTCACTGCTGCAACTCTCCTCACCAACCTCCCTGCTACCTTTTTCTCTTCTCCCACCTATGCCTTGTTCCAATGGATTCTTTTTATGTCTAATATTGAATTATATAACCCCAGTCCTTAAACTTTTCTTCACTTATTGGAAGCTGAACAAATATTTCCCAAGTTAGAGCTTTGCTTTCTCTGCCTTCACTGTTCATCTCCCCGCTTTGTGAGCAGCTGACTGGCTCCGCTTTTAGATTACCTCCTCATAGAGACAAGTGCTGACCGCCTTCCTTCCCTGATAGTCTGCTCTGTTTCTTTCCAAGCACGAAAACATCCTACATTTTACATATATTTCTACCTATTTTTATTGGTTATCTCTCTCACTAAGCTTTATAATGATTGAGTTCTTGTACATAATTATTTCTTTCATGCCTAGCACAGGGCCTGCCATTCAACACGTGTTAAGTGAATTAAACACATATGGCATTTCCCCCAGTTATAAAATATTAATATTAAATGTATTTGATTTTTTAATATGCTTAGTTAAGTTATCCATTCTGAGAAAGGTAAGTATCACATAATCTCACTCATATGTGAAATCAAATGAACCAAATAAACTGATGAACAAAATTGAGAACTTTATTAGTTTGACGTGTGTAGTGAGCCATGAAATAGGTCAGTAGTAAACACTGGACAACTCTTTAATTCTTGGGCAATTATAGCCTAGTCTCTTTATTATTTGAATTTCATGTACAGAAAAGTAAAATCTCATTTTCTGTTAATTTGTTAAGATGTAAATGTGCTTCACAAAATAAATCACATTTCAATAAATAACCTTTCCAGGGTTTTAGGATAATTACTCCCCCCCTCCCCCCTTCTTTTCCTGTTTCTTAACTGAGTCCTTCAGTTTGAACGTCTATTTAAACACATAGCTTATTAAGACTTTCTTGTGCTGTAGAGGATTTTTTTTTTTTTTTTTTTTTTTGCTCCTCAAGATGCAGTGTGTAGTGAGATGGATTGTCGATAGGGTGCATGTTTCTGTCTCGATGGAACAGTTACTAATGGTGACAAGTGGGAGACTGTTTGTATGTCTCCGCGGAGGCTGTATTTCTGTCATGTGCCACCATTGTCCCTGAGCAAGAGTTCCCGCAGCTCATTGCCTCCTCACACCACTGTTCTTGCTGACTGCCTCCTTTCCCTGACCTCATCTTTGTTCTCCCCCGCTAGAACTCTTTCCTGGCCCGAGAAAGGCACGCATTTATTTTTAAATGTAGGTTTTATGATGTTTTCAGTATGAGAATTCATAGAAATGGTATCAACAGAATGCTGTTATAGGTTACCTGCCAGCTAAACAGGATTCTTTATTAAAATTGAATTTTATTTGTATATTAATATTAAAGCTGTTTCTAAGTAACCTGCCAAATACTTTCGTTGGGTGGGTAAAAGACTGTTTTAGGTATAACTTACCTTCTGTGTGTGATAAATGAGGAGAGGGCCCAGTTCAAAATCAAAACAGGAGTTGCTTTCATTAGTCTCTATCCATGTATTTCATAGACACTATAGAAACATAACAATATAATTTTTGTGATTTAGTGCCTTACATTTTATCTATTTTTATATTATAAGATTTTGTGATATATTTGTATTTTGGGCTGAGGAAGTAGTATTTATACAGAGTGCTTACACAAGAACTGAAGGGTACACAGTTGGAGAGCAAACAGTAGTGTATAATAATTAGAAGGGCTGGGAGGAAGGGGGGAGCTTTAACGGCCACTTACAGGTAACATCCCTTTCCTACAAGGCAACAGTAGCTCAAATGTTACATTCATTCCAGTTCTTGAAAGTGGAATTCCACTAGTAGTTATTGTTTCCATTTATATATTGATGGAAATAGTGAGTTTGGAATTAATGACATTAAATTTAGTGAAATAAGCTTATCAGATACTTGAAAATTGTAATTTACACATATGGAATCCTGGTAATTATTTATAAGAATATTTCACTCCTGTTGATGTTAGTCTGCCATAATGTGTACAGTATGATTTCATTTTCCAATATATTCTTATAAACATATTTTCAGGGATACATCTCATATGTGAAATGAGCTATATCTCCGTGAATACTGACTATAATATAATTGTATTAAAATTGTCCCATAGTATACCTTTAACAACCATTACTATTTGTTTAAATAAACTTGCAAAACTGAAGAAACATTGTGTGTAAAGCTTAATTTAAAACAAACAGTACTTATCCCTATTCTTGAATAGATAATATAGCCTGACTAGCTTGGAAAAGTATTGAATTACTTATGCATATTTATGTCCCTTTAATTTCCCCAAAGCTGGTTTTCAGAGGGGTTTTTGATACACGGCTACAATTTTATTTGGCAGTCTCTTCCATATTGCACAGGGAATTTTATTTCTCAAGCTGAATTAATGTAAGCAACATGCTTTCCTCTGTATTATTTTTTCCGATAATTTTTTTTTTTGAGGAAAGAAAAGTCTGAATAGAACAATGTAAAATATTTTTCTTCAAGTCACAAAATTTTATTTTATGTACAATTGTAATAATTGCAAGTTAGTATTGTCAGTCTTCTAGGAAATCAGATCTATTTTAGTCTGAAAAAAATCTGATGAAAATTAAATATTTTCTTGTATTGAGAAAGTCCTCCTTTAACATAACGGTTTAATTTATTCTTTCACAGCTGGCATAAGTAGAGTTCGATTTTGAGGTTGATTTTTTTTTTTTTTTTTTTTTTTTTTTTTTTTTTTTTTTTTGCCTCCACTTTCCCATCATGAGTCTAAAATTCTTCTGATGAGAAGACAGATCTAACCATGCATAGACTTCGGAGTGACATTAATTTATATTTTATAAATATATATTGATTTTTTATATTTTGACAACCTCCTTGACAGAAATAAGAAGCAACATTCTCTTTTTGTCCTTTACAAGAAATTATAATTAGGGTCGGAATATATTTACAAAATGTCAGACCATAAAAACAGATTATGATGGCTGAGTGTCTCAGTACTAGGGCTTCCTTTGTACATGAGGAATCTTTTCTTGCTACTGTGATTTACTGTTTTTCCTTAGTAGCAGAGGGGTTGTATAAGCCAATTTTCTAAGAGAGGAGAAACTAAGAGAGTCTGAGGCAATAATTTCTCTTCTCATCTATCCACATTGTTATTTGGGAATATTAAGTATGTACTGTAATTTGGATGCATATTCTATAAAATAAGTATGTTCTTAGATTGAAATGCATTTGATAACCATTCACTTGCAAATAAAGACTCGCTATGGAATTCAGGAGCTAGAAACATCCCATGTCATTGTTAACTCATATTTACTAAGGACTTACTATATGTCAGGCTGTTATCTAAGTTGATTACATGTGTTAACTCTTAATCCTCACAAAGACCTTTTAAGATAGGTGGCACTATTAATTGCCTTTTACAGAGACAGAAACTGAGGCACTGTAAGGTTCTACTATTTCTACACGGTTTCAAGCGAGTGGGTAGAATCAGAATTTAAACACCAAGCTAGTGTTTTTCAAACTGCAGTTGAAAGCTAGCATTTTTTTTAAATGATTAGAATAGTGTGGTATTATATAAGAAAAAAAGAAGTATCAATGTGCATCCTCTATGAATCTTCTGCTTATGGTGTGTGTATGTATACTTAGTTTGCATTGGGTTAGGATTTAAAGCAGAGATAGGTCCTTAGCTGGTATTTGCTCAGTGGTTAGAGCTTTGGCCTACAGACTGAAGGGTCCTGGGTTTAATTCCAGTCAAGAGCACATACCTTGGTTGGGGGCTTGATCCCCAGTAGGGGCATGCAGAAGGCAGCCAATCAATGGTTCTCCCTCATCATTGATGTTTTTATCTCTTTCTCCCCTCCTCTCTGAAATCAATAAAAATATTTAAGTAAGTAGAAAATAAATAAATAAATAAATAAAACAGGGGTAGGGAAAGTCTAGCCTTTGGACCCTATAAGGTCCAAGAAAAACATGTGGTCTGGCCCTTCCAAGGCACTAGGGGTGAGTTAAGTAAATGTTTGACCACAATAGCAGGCTAATTTTTTTTTGTATGGCCCGCAAATGATGTTATAATATCCAAATGGCCCTTGGCAGAAAAAAATGCCCCCCCTCTCTGAAGTTTGAGAAACAAATTGCTATGCTGCCTCCTACTTTTGACATCAATGGCTGACTCTGTTTTCATGTTATTTTATCAAGTAGCCTTTCACCTCTATTGGTGAAATACATGGTAATTACAACCTACATTCTGTCTCTTGAAAAGGAAAGCTTTCCCGCCGAAACTGGTTTGGCTCAGTGGATAGAGTGTCGGCCTGCAGACTGAAGGGTCCCGGGTTGATTCCGGTCAAGGGCATGTACATTGGTTGTGGGCACATCCCCAGTGAGGAGTGTGCGAGAGGCAGCTGGTCGATGTTTCTCTCTCATGTTTCTCTCTCATCGACGTTTCTAGCTATCTATCCCTCTCCCTTCCTCTCTGTGGAAAATCAATAAAATATATATTAAAAAGAAAGAAAGAAAGAAAGAAAGAAAGAAAGAGAGAGAGAGAGAGAGAGAGAGAGAGAGAGAGAGAGAGAGAGAGAGAAAGAGAGAAAGAGAGAAAGAAAGAGAGAGAAAGAAAGAAAGAAAGAAAGAAAGAAAGAAAGAG